GTGTGTCTGGGTGTCACAAAACGTCTGATAACCTTATGGTTAAATAAGGGGCCATCTAATGTTCGCTTACCAAGTTGGAAATCAAAAAAAATTACAACCAATCTTTTAAAAATAAAGAAATGTATCACAAATGACTTTGCTAGAAAACCCAGGGGACTTGAAGAAGTGGGACGATTCAAAGCAACAGAATTCAGACAATTTTTACTATACACTGGTCCTATAGTATTAAAAAATGTTATATCTGAAGACTGTTACCTCAATTTTATGACCCTCAGTATTGCAATGAGAATTTTATTGAGTTCAGATCACTGTAAATATTTGGACTATGCTCATCAACTTCTTGATTATTTCGTAAAAACTTTCCAACAAATTTATGGTATTGAATTCATGTCACACAATGTTCATGGATTACTGCATTTAGCTGATGACTATAAGATATATGGACCTCTAGATAATTGCAGCTGTTTTTATTTTGAAAACTATATGAAATATTTGAAACGGATGCTACGGAAACACGAAAGGCCTTTACAACAGGTAGTTAAACGATACAAAGAAATTTGTGATAATGAAAATATCACATACAACAATCATCACAATCAATTGAATTTTTCAACACACGAGCCAGATTGTTTTATTCTTACAACAGGAGGGGAAATAGTTAAAATAATTGATATATTATTGCACACTAATACTATTATTGGTAGGCATTTTTTATACAAAGAAAATTTGTTCAATAAGCCCTTAAAGTCATCAAAGTTAGATATTTGGATTGTTAAAAGTCTCTCAGAAACGACAACACAGTGGAAGATAACTGAAATTAAAAAAAAAGTTGTTATGATCAACTTTGATGATAATTGTATATCTATTCCTATAATTAGATGAGTCATGATGCATTTATGTAATTATTTAGATGTCATATTTGTATGTAAAATATTTATTAAGTATTAGATTTAGTGCAGTAGAATGTGTAAAAATATAAAATAATATAAAATAATTGGTATTTTAAATTTGTATAAACATAATGTAAATAGCAGGTTACTATATTTTATCATGTGTATATGTATAATGTATATTATATATAAGTTGTTGTTTTGAAGGATGTGGATAGTTGTACTATTTGAAGAAGACAACACATTGGCTGCTGTGCCTGCATTTTGGTATAAAGATGGTCACTGTGCATGGCCAAACAGCAAAATTAGTAAAAACATAGAAAAAAGATCTGCACCAAATGAGATAGAATTCTCTAGATATACGGCAAAAATATTATATGAGCATGTTGGTAAGTACCTATACAAAATAGTAAATAATAATATTCATGTAAATATTAAAATATGAATTGTAACCATAATTGCAATTACAATACCTATTTATGTTGCATTTAATATTTTTATTAAAAAAAGTATTGTATTTAGGAAGTTATTTAGAAGCTCGTAACTTGGCTCAAGATAATTCAGAGGCATCATCATGCGATAACTTATATGAAGATTTGCGCTTAAAGAAGAAAAAAAACTCAAGATTAGTCGCATCTAAAAAACAAACAAGGCTTCTTTCTCCACCAGTAATCGATTCTGAAGGTAAAATATTCTAATATTAGTAAAATTTTGGTGTGTGTATATTGTATAAATCACTATATATAAATATATATATGTTATGCATATTTTTGATAGTTATTACAAGTACTTATATTTATCAAATATGCTGTAATTTTAATTTCTATTCAAAATTGATATATAGTTGAATTTTAACACATTATTTAAAGAATATAAGTAATACACATTTCATTGTGTACTTAAATTAATTAATAATAAAATATTATGCCCAGAGTTCTTAAAAATAAGATAAACTTCAAAATTCCTGCTTTTAACTGTAGAAATAATCACCCACTTTCAGCACCACAATATTCTAATACAATAAAATTCATTCCAAACTACTTTATTCTAAATGCATTTAATATGGTTAAAATTAGGCGCCAAATTTTGATTTGTTCATTGATTCAAAACACTTAATAATTAATAAATTTCTGTTACAGATTCTGAGTATGATGATTCAGATGTTGATAAAAATTATAAGCCTTTTCCAGATGATGATTTTACACATGAAATGTCATTTGGTTCATCAAAAAACAAAAAGTTGAAACTCTTTCATAAAACTGGATCATTTACAACTCATGACCAAAGTTCAACTTCAAAACTATCTGTATGCCAAACATCATCAGCGTCATCATCATCGCAGCATCAGACAACACCGACATATTATGTAAACCAGTCACCTGAACCATTTGTCAATCTACCTAATACACCATCAAGATCGTATCAGTCTACACCAAAAGCTCAGTTAAGTCAGTTAACTGAACCATTTCAAAATAAAAAAATACATCATCAGGCATCTAATTTTGAATATGATAATGATCAAGGTAAATATAAAAATGATGTTTTGAAGATTTTATTTTAGTATTACCTATTACTTAAACATTTTGTTTAGGATTCAAAAAGTTTATATCAAGATCTATGACCAACATGAAATATGAAATTGAATCTGTTAACAAACGTCTTGACTCTTTTTACTCATTATTAGAAACAATTAATGATAAATTGAATAGCAATAATGCATTTTCTAATTTGGATAATGTACTTGATAATTATGAAAATGAAATAATATGCATTGATAACAATGATGACCTAGAAAAAATGGAAGATAAACTAACCAATGACCGACAGTATAAAGCTTATGTGGTAATTAAAATATTTTGAATCAACATGATAATATACTGCAAGTTATTTATTTTATTAATTACCATATCTTATAGATTGTTTTGTTAACACGGTTGATGGGAGACAGCTTATCGGAGTCAGTGAGAAAAATTATGCAAAAATTATTTACAGATAATTTTTTGGCAAACTACTCTTTTATAGGTTTTAAAGGCAAAAAAACATTTTCCAACCTTCAGCATTGTGCAGTCATAATAGGCAAGTACTTTATTTGTGTATAATAATAATGTGTGTATCATCAATACCTAAACTATTCCTATAGTTTATCTAAAATAATATATATATGTATCTCTTTTCTTGTAAATTTTTTTTCAAGTCCAATAAAATATTTGGTTAACTATAATTTATACAAATAGCTATAGCATACATATTATAGTAAAAAAAAGTTTTCATAAAAAATAATTTTTGTAAATAAACTGGCTGTATTTATCTAAAAATTCTCTTACTGTTGATTTATATTATTAATATTATTTATTTTAGTCTAAAATTAAAATTATTTTAATAATTCATTAAATTGCCGAGGAATTATACATTATTATATTCTCATGTTTTTATTATTATTTTTGCAGATGCGATTTTAAAAATGAAAAAATTTAAAGAAGTATCAATCAAAGAAATAGAAAAGCCAATAAAGAGTTGGATGGCACAAGCTCCTCAAAGGATACTAAAAATGCAGAAAAAAATTGTTTAAATTATTTAAAGCTTTTTATTACTTGTCTTGTAGTATGATTATTTGTTATATTCTATTTTTATTTCTTTACTTTAATACATTATTATAAAATTTGACAAGGATGATGAATAAGTCAATATTTTTTTTTTTATCATAATATATTGTTTTGAATATTACAAGTCTTATATTAATATATAATAAGGATAACTTTTTTATTATTATTATTTTTTTCTAAGACACAGATTGTTTTTTTTATATTATAATTTGTTGGTACCATCTATATTGTATAAAATTTATTCAATTGTTAATAACAAATTATACAAATTATACATAATATTATAAGGTATCAATTTTTTTACTATAATTATTTTTAATACTGTATTTATTATATACTTTATATTATATTATAATATTTAGTACCTATCATTATATTTTTCTGTAAGACAGTCAGATTTTTTTTGAACAATATGATTATAATTATATAATGTACCACTTATTTTGTATAACTTTTTTTCTATGCTGACAAAGATATACATGTATGGTATAATAAAACTTAATTATTTTCATAATTATACTATTATCTATAATAATTTATTTGTTTTATAGATTTATTTATTGTTTTCAAACTAATGTCACCTATATATTTCATGAATATTGTCTACGAAATATGTTCAAAATAATATCAACAATATATTTCTAAACATTGTGTGCCAATCATTTTCAAAATATTATTGGCGATATATTGCATAGTTGTTGTATGTGACATATTTTCAAAATAATATCATCAATATATTTCAAAAATCTTGTGTGCCAATCATTTTCAAAATATTATTGGCCATATATTGCATAATTATTGTATGTTACATATTTTCAAAATAATATCATCAATATATTATGTAAATATTATTGTTAGATATGTTTATAATATTTTATCGTTGGACAAATGATGATCTAATAATATTGTGATAATATCTTAAAACTTTTTGACAACCATGAGTGAATATATTGAAAACATTTAAATAATTTCTAAAGCATAATAATAATATTTTGAAAATATAATTTTGCTATGTGGGTTAATTTAATATTATATTTACTCATTTTCACTTTATGTATAATGTCTAATTAACCTCAAGAATCATAACTATTATAGTATTATGTAATTTTTTATCACTATTTTGTCATAAATTGTCAAAAACTATCGATTCTGTAAATATTTATAAATGTAGATAGCCTATAAAGACTACGAATTTTTTATTATAATAAAAAAAAATGTCTATAATATAAGGATACCGTTTTCAGTTATTTTTGATATAAACTATACAGTAGCACAATGGTATATTAATTTTATACATATTATACACATGTTATAATATATTAGTATTGTACAATTAGGTATTTGTTTTGTGTTGAAATTGTAACTCAATCCCACCACAAACTCGCTAAATTTTTTGTTCTTAGCAACCTATAGGCTATAAACACGAGGTCACAAACATGCTGATATCTTTATACGTGCAGATTGACCAGAAATAACGTTCCACGATTTTCTTGTATTTTTTGTTTGTCTTACTTCTAAATGAGCCGCAAACGGTCGTGAAAGTTACATAGATTTTAATTTATACGACTTATAGGTAACGCTATTTAATGACTTATTGTGTTCCCTTGAACATAAAATATTTTGTATGTCGTTTGTTAATACAGAAAAATATGTTCTTGATTTAATATATAATTTTTTGCTTTTTTAATGCATATCTAGTCTGATATAGTAATTCATCAGGCTTATGTTATAATGATTTTATTATTTTATTTATCATTAGGTCATTGTACGTTCTACTTAAAAATCAAGAGTTAAAAATTGTTATATCATAAATAGTTATCATCTTTATGCCTTATCCTTTTGTATTGTTTTCTCCAAAGTTAGCGGATTCCGGATCACAGGTGATCCAGAAACTGGTGATTTTTTAGTGGTATAGTGTCTTCAATATTATAGGCATAGCCCCCTTAAAATGATTAATGTCTACTTCGTTCAGGAAAATATTATACAAATTATATTGAATTTGTGGAAAATTACTACAAAATAAATATTATAATTTTGTAACTATTCATCATAATCATGTTTCTCACAAGAACATAATAAAAGGTACCTATCATTGTGTGTTTTTTGGGTAGTAGAAAGGTTAGATAATAGATACACGAAAGCCGAAAGGTATAGCAGAAAAAAAGATTCAATTATCAAATTGAGGTTAGTTTCTGATGGACGGTTTGATGTAGTTGGTACTTTTTTAGAGATAATAATTGAAAATTCAAAGCACTCTTCTGAATCATTTGAGAAATTAAAAAACAACTAACAAAAAAGGAAATTTTTAAGCAAAATCAGTTTTCGACAAACTCGATATTGCTTTATGGTGCAGCTTAAAAAGGAATAATCGTAAATACTTGAAAACATAGTTAGAAGCTTTTTGAACTAGGTATTTAAAAAAATTTTTTACTTAAATGTCAATAAAAATGTTTACAAATTTCATACGCAGTTCGTCGTAGTAAAATTTCTCCATAATACCATCTAAAAAATATGAAAAATGCAGTCACAATATATTTCATATGCACTTAAAGTTAAATATCTTATGAAACTCATCAAAATGGTGAAAATTTGCAAATTTTATTTTAGTTAGAAATTTATAAAAATGTTTTTTTTTACATTTGTATCTAGTACATATAAGATTTAAACATTAATACAAGGTTCCTTATACATTTTTCTACCTCTTACAAAAAAAGACTACCTGAAACTTATAATGAAATTGTATCAGCATTCTATATAATAATAAATTCACAGGTATCTTTGCAATTATTATTGTTTTATGCTAATCACATATAATAATCTCCTAAGTCCATAGAAAGTTAGGCAAAACAACCTGGTATCTGTTAGCTGTTTAATATTTGCTTGAATTGCAGTTGTAGAAATTGGGTTAGTACTTAGTTGTGGATTAATATTAAATTCTAATTTTTGCATAGTTTTTTCTAAGTTGTGTATGTCTGCTATACTTTTCAAAATGTTTGTTAAAATGTGAAATGCTAGCACCAAACCCAGAAACGACATTGATTCTTCTTCAACTACACAAAGAGACGAACCTAATGAAAAAAATATAACATTTATATTACACACATAGATAAATCATATTGTAATTAAATTAACGTAAATCTTAATCATTCTCAAAATATATAGTATAAAACTTTGAAATGTAATATACTGAATTTAAAAATGTCGTTGTGTAAGTACCGTATGGCGTATATACAATATAATCATACACTATAAAAGGCCCAAAAGTATCCAATAATAATATTTTTGAATTACAGCAAATTAACTAAAATCGTTATTCTTGGTTTTAATATGTAATTCAGTCAAAATTTGAACTTAAAATTTCTGTAAGAAATAACTGTGATTATAGATTTTTTAGATTTGTTGGTTACAGTATGAGCTATTTATGAGAATCCGTATTGTAAACCTTTCAATTCATAGCTATACAAATTGAATATAATATAACTTTTTAACTACGAAATAATTTCAACATTTTTGAGATTTTAATGAGTTTTGTAAAAATTGAACTTTAAATACTTATAAAAAAAAATCGTGGTTACGGATCTTTAAATTTCCTCAACTGCTATTACTATTTATTACCTTGCACTACATTTTCAAGTTTTTTGACCTAGCAACAATTTTTTAATGGAAATTAATTTAAGAAAAACGAATAATAATCGAAAATGACATGTGCCAATAAATGGTTGAACACGAATCAAAATATTTTGAAAGTTGGATGGTGTACAAAAAATGCGATTATAAACATTTATTGAAAATTGCGTGTACTTACGGTAATTTTTTTTGAGTTAAACTAAAAACCAAAATTGATTTTGTCGAAAACCATCTCAGTTTTCCCTTAATTGTTGGTTTGTTTTTCCGAACGCTTTTGAAAAATATTGGGAATTTTTACTTTTGTCCCATTAAAGTACCAACTAAATTCACTTTCCTACCAGTAAAGTTGAATTTGAAGAAACTTAAGCATTTTTACTATACCAAAAGGTGATTGCAGATACAAAAAAAACACATCCTTGTAAAATCAATGCATTCGTTGAGACTCAAAAAAGGTGATAGTTAAAATAAAATAAATCTATTTTGTTGGGTTTTTATCTGCATGAGGGATTATATAAGTGTTAATACATTTTGTAGCAAAACACTACTAGATATTTTTTCTGTAGTCGTTGAATTTTTTTATAATAGACTCATTTTTTGATCTTATTTTTTTAAAAATATGCACATAAAAAAAATTTGTTTGAAAGAATTTTATTTCTCGTTTTTGTTCATCGAGTAGTTTTTTAGACATCTTCAGTTATTAATTTAGTAAGGTATGTCGGTATTTTCTATGTACCTATAAGAAAATGTTTAAAACATTTCTCTACCTGCAACATTTAAACAATTCATGAAACTTTAATTATGACCCGGGCGTTGATAGATGTTCACAATCTTTATAGAATCTATAATATATTATACTGTATTGACTTACGAGATACTTATTGGTGTTTTACTGATATCACAATTAATAATTTCCTACCCTATTGTTGAAAAAAAGTATTTTGAATTAAATATCAAATTGTTTGATAATTTTATGCGATCGTGGCTTTTATTTAATTATTAGTCAAGTGTGTTAAATTAAAGTACTTATAACATTTTCGATAAATTCCAATGAATGAAATATTATTAATTAACGTATGAATGAAACTATTCATAAAAATGTAGCATGATAATTGTTTATTGTATAATATAAAGTGAAAAAAGTGATAAATATTACACCTACAAGGTAATTAACATTCAACTATACAAATACACATTTAAAAAAGATTATATAAATATTTAAGTTTACAACCTAAACAATTCTCAGTAATCTCAAGATAAAATTCCATAAACTAGGTACCTTGAAACTATAAATCAAAAAAACAAAATATGCGCAATGCGTAATATATATTTCATATATATATATTTCCTCGTCGTGTAATATGAACTATAATTCACTTATTCGAATTCAAAAATCAGACAATACTTTTTTTATGAGTTATGAATGTAATATTACGTACCTATACTT